CCTCAACATATTGTTCCAGAGAACCATTCTGATCATACTCCAGGAATTTCTGTTCTACTGTATTGTTCCTGATTTGATTGGCCCAATCCAAATGCAGAATCTTTTTTTAAGAAGAGTATATCACTGTACCAGGGCCTTCAGCCCACCATGTCTGTGCTGATCGTGATACCGTTCTAAACTAATCCCATCTGCCTGCATGTGTTACATAGCCCTTTATTCTCTGCCTGTTCATGTGTCTATCTAAATTCCTCTTAAGCATTGCTGTCATATCTATTTCTATCATCTCCCCTTGTAGTGCATTCCTGGCACCTACCACTCTCAGCATAAAAAAAACTTCCTTGCACATCTCCTTTGAACTTCCCCTCTCTCACCTTACACCTATGTCCCCTAGTATTCCACCCTGGGAACATTTTCACCCTGGGAAAAAGACTCTGACTGTCCATCTTATCCATGCTTGTTATAATTTTATGTATTTCTATCAGGTCACCCTCCACCGCTGACAGAAGGTATCTAAGTTTGTCCAACCTCCCCTTGTAGCTAATGCACTCCAATCCAGGCAACAATATAGTAGACCTCTTTTGCACCCTCTCCAAAGCCTCCACATCCTTCCTATAATGCAGTGAACAGAACTGCATACAATACTCCAAATATGGCCTGACTAAAGTCTTATAACATGACTTGCCAACTTTTATATTCAGTGTCCTGACTGATGAAGGCAAGAATGCCATATGCTTACTTTACCACCTTATCCACCTGTGTTGCTACTTTCAGGAGCTATACTTGCACCCCAAGAACCCTGCCATTTACTGTATGACTGTATACTGTATATTTATATCACCCATAATTAAAACTGTACCTTCATTGCTTTCATCTCTAATTTTTTGTTTTCTGCGCTTCCCTAACATTTCCACCACAGTTTGGGGTTCAATCTATGATCCCCACTATCATTTTCTGCCCCTAGGTGTTTTTAAGCTCAACCCATACAAAGTCAATTTCATCAGAGTTAATATTCTTCCTCTCTATAGTGTTAATTTCCTCTTTTTTACCAGCAATGCTACCCCACCTCCTTTTTCTTTTTGTCTGTCCTCCTTAAAAATTGGATACCCTTGGATATTCATTAACAATCTCTGGTCACCTAGCAGCTGCATCTCAATAATCCCATCTGTTTCATATTTGTTTATATCTATTTGTGTGACTTATTCATCCACTTTATTATGAATGCTTTTTGTATTGAGACACAAATCCTTAACATTTTTAATGTTCTTAGTCCTGTTCATATTATTTTGCACTGTGGTTCTGTTTGATTGTGGCCCTTGAATTCTCTGCCTATCACTTTTTTTATTTCCGAATCTGTCTTTTATTTTTACCCTTATTTCCTTCTGTTCTATCACACAGTATAGGTTCCCATTCCCCCGCCATTTCAGTTTAAACTCTCGAACTGCACCACAGATACTCTGGAATGTACTGTCAGAGAGTGTGGTGGTGGCAGGTTCATTTGTGTGAAGAGATGTCAGTATCTCCCATTATTGATGGCCCTTCCCGTATATCTGTTCCCTTCCCTCATAGCTGCTCCCTTATCTCCATATTGACTTCCTTCCTTCTGTATCTACCCTTCACATCCCATATTGTCTCCTGTCTCTGATGACTACCCCCATATTCGTATCCATTACCTTTGTTCCATCTGGAATCATCTTCCCTCTATTGACTTGCTGTATTGCGCACCCCCCTACCCCTCCCACGCCATATTGATCCTAACCAGACCAAGTTTTATCTCCCTCAACCATATTGACACTGCCCTCTCCAGTATCGACTCCACTCCCCAGCGGCATATCAACTGTCTTTGCATGAATTAACCCACTATCTCTCTGTATCAGCTTCTATCTCTCTGTATCAGCTCCTTTCTCTTTGTATCAGCCCGTACTCTCTGTATCAGCTCCTATCTCTCTGTCGTCTGCTGTCTCTACGTATCAGCTCCCATCTCTCCACATCAGCTCCCCTCTCTCTCTATCAGCTCCCCTCTCTCTCTATCAGCTCCCCTCTCTCTGTATCATTTCACATCTCTCCATATCGGGTCCCCTCTTCATTATCAGCTCCCGTTTCTCCAAATCTGCTTCCCCCTCTCTTTGTGTCTGCTCCCCTCGTCCCCAGATCAGTTTACCCCTCTCTCTGTATTAACTTTCCTCATTTCATATCTGCTTTCCCCATTCCCATATCTGCTCCCCCTCATTCCCAAGTCAGTTCCCGTCTCTTTGTATTGGCTTCCCTAATCCCATATTTGCTTCCCTCATTCCCACATCACCTTCTCTCATTCCAAATCATCTCCCTTCGTCCTGTCAGCTCCCTCGTCCTCTGTCAGTTCCCTGTACCCGCATTTGATCCCCCAGTCACGTATCAGCTCTCCTCACCCTGTATCAGGCCACTTTTCTGCGTATCAACTCCCTTATCCATGTTTCCTCATCCTGTATCCATTCCGTCATCCTGTATTTGTTCCGTTATCCCATATCTGTTCCCTCATTCACGAATCACCACCCCAGTCCCGTATCAACAGCCCTCATCCTGTATCACCTTTCCTCTCTTTGTATTGGCTCCCCTCTCTCTGTTTCGACTCCCCTCATCCTTTATTGACCCCCACACCCCGTATTGGCTTATCACCTTTCCTGTCTCTGTATCTGCTTCCCATGACCCATATTGCTTTCCCGTGTCAGCTTTCCTCTCTCCGTATTGCCTTTCCTGTCTCTGTGTCTGCTTCTGTCATTCTTTCTCTCTGTATCACCTCCCTTCATCCTGTATCACTCCTCTCTCTGTATCAGCTTTCCCTTCTCTGTATTTACTCCCCCTTGCCTGTTTCGGCTCCCTTCTCTGTATTTTTTAAAAAATGTATTCATGGGATGAGGGAGTCACTAGCTGGCCAGCATTTATTGCCCATCCCTAATTGCCCAGAGGGCAGTTAAGAGTCAATCACATTGCTGTGAGTCTGAAGTCATAGTGAACTAGATGGGTTTCCACTCCCTTCATCCCATGTCAGCTCTCCTCATCCCATGTCAGCTCCCTTTCCAAACATCCACTTACTTCTCCCCACATTGGCTCCATCTGCTCAAATTTGATTTGATTTAATTTGGTTTGATTTATTATTGTCACAGTTGGATACAAAATTGGTTTGAAGATAGGAGACAGAGGGTGGTGGTGGAGGGTTGTTTTTCGGACTGGAGGCCTGTGACCAGTGGTGTGTCACAAAGATCGGTGCTGGGTCCACTGATTTTTGTCATTTATATAAACAATTTGTATGTGACTGTAGGAGGTATGGTTAGTAAGTTTGCAGATGGCATCAAAATTGGTGGCGTAGTGGAAGTACAAAAGGTTATCTCAGTACAACAGGACCTTGATCAGATGGGCAGATGGGCAAATGGGCCAAGGAGTGGCAGATAGAGTTTAATTTAGATAAGTGTGAGGTCTTGCATTTTGGTAAGATCTTTCCAGATGCATGTAAATCCTATCCCTCAGAATCCCTTCCAACAACTTACCCACCACTGACATCAGGCTCCCTTGCTTTTCCTTTCCATCTTTCTTAAATAATGGCACCATATTAGCTAACTTCCAATCTTGCAGCACCTCAACTGTGCTTATCCATGATAGAAATATCATAGCAAGGGGCCCAGCAGTCTCTTTCGTAGCATCCCACAAAGTTCTGGGATACACCTGATCAGGTCCCGGGGATTCATCCACTTTTATGTGTTTTAAGACATCCAGCACCGGCTCTTTCTGTAATATGGACACTTTTCAAGATATCACCATTTATTTCCCCAAGTTCTCGGACTTCCATATCCTTTTCTACATTAAACACTGATGTGAAATACTCATTTAAAATCTCACCCAAATCCAGTGGTTCGACACATAGATGACCTTGTTGATCTTTAAGATTCGATAACCAGCTCCTTCATTTTGCTGACATTGAGAGAGAGTTTGTTGTCTTTACACCGTGTCACTAAGCTGTCTGACTCGTCATTGTTTAAGATCCAACCCATTATGGTGGTGTCATCATCAAACTTGTAAATGGAGTTGGAGCAGAATTTGGCCACACAGTCATGAGTGTATAAGGAGTATAGTAAAGGACTGAGTACACAGCCTTGAGGTGAACCCATGTTGAGGATTATCATGGAGGAGGTGTTGTTGCATATCCTTACTGATTGCGGTTTGTGAATCAGGAAGTTGAGGATCCAGTTGTAGAGGGGGGAGCAGAGTCCTAGGTCTCGGATTTTGGAGATGAGTTTGGTTGGACTATGGTGTTGAAGGCAGAGCTAAAGTCAATAAATAGGAGTCTGACGTAGGTGTCCTTGTTATCCAGATATTCCAGGGATGAGTGTAGGGCCAGGGAGATGACGTCTGCCATGGACCTGTTGCGACGGTGGGGGAATTGTAGTGGATCAAGGCAATCTGGGAGGCTGGAGTTGATGTGTGCCATTACTAACCTCTCGAATGATGGATATCAGAGCCACCGGGCGGTATTCATTAAGGCACGCTGCCTGATTTTTCTTTGCCACCGGGATGATAGTGGTCTTCTTGAAGCAGGTGGGAAGCATATCCACTACCTTCTACTCGTATTGGCTCTTCTCCTCATGTATCCAACCTCATCTTTACAAATTGACTCCCTTATCCCATAATGGTTCCCTTCCTTTGTATCCGCTCGCATTTCCTCATTTCAACTCCACTCAACTTATATCTTCTCCCCTTGTCTCATATTCGCTCTGTACTCTCTCTATTGACAACCCTTTCCTGTGTCTGCTCCCTTCCCCATATATCCACTGTCCTATTTCTGTATCCACTGCAATCATTCCATTGCCATTTCCATCATCCTGTATCAATTCCCCTCATCATGTATTGACTCCATTCTCTCTGTATCGACTCCCCTCATTCTGTGTTGCTCCCCCCTCCTTCCCCACCTGTATTGACTCCCCTCATCCAATATCAACTCCCCTCATTCTGTATCCTTTCTGTTTTTGCAGACTCTTTGGCCCGATCGAATAAACTACTCGCTTGGTGCCAGAAGCAGACCCAGGGGTATAAGAATGTCAATGTGATCGACCTGACCACGTCATGGAAAAGCGGCCTGGCACTTTGCGCTATCATCCACCGTTACCGGCCAGACCTAATGTGAGTGCTCTGTGCAACCTAACACCACACTGGAAAAGATCCCAATAGATTAGCCTCCTGGAATCCTTGATATCGAAACATCTGATCAAACTGTTGCTTATTTCCTAATTGTGTTTGCCACAAATGCTTGATGCAACCATCATTTTCAGTTCGTAGATTCATGGATTCATAGAGCACAGAAAAGGCCCTTCAGCCCATAGAGTCTGCACTGATATAACTACCACTAAAAGTGCTCTAATCCTAATTTCCTGCACTTGTGCCATATCCTTGAATGTTATGATATTTGAAGTGCCCATCAAAACATTTTTTAAGGTTCATATGGTTTCTGGCCTCTTAGTGGAAACATCTTCTCCATATCCACTCTACCCAGGCCTCTCAGTATTCTGAAAGCTTGAATCAGATCCCCTTCATCCTTCTAAACTCCTTCAAGTACAGACCCAGAGGCCTCAGCTGCTCCTCATATGACAAGCCCTTCATCCACAGAATCATTCTTGTGGACCTTCACCAACGCTAGCACATCCTTCCTTAGATACGAGGCCCAAAACTGCTCACCACATTCCAAATGCAATCTAACCATAGCCTTAGATAGCCTCAGCAGTATCCCTGCTCTTGTATTCTCGCCCTCTTAAAATGAATATCAACATTACATTTGCTTTCCTAACCGCCAGTTAAACCTGTACGTTAACCTTCAGAGAATTCTGAATTTGTACTTCCAAGATCCTTTGAGCTGCGGAGTTCTGAGGCCTTCCCCCATTTAGGAAATAGTCTACACTTCTACTCTTCCTGCCAAAGTGTATAGCGTCACACCACATTGCATTCCATCTGCTGCTACTTTGCCCACTTGCCTAGCCTGTCCAAGTTCTTCTGCAGCCTCTCCACTTCCTCAACATTACCTGCCCCTCCACCTATCCTGCAAACTGAGCAATGATACATTCAGTTACTTTATCCAGATCATTAATGTATAATGTGAACAATTGCGCTACCAGTTCTGATCATTGCGGAACTCCACCAGTTGCCAGCTGCCATTCTGAGAAATGATCCCATTTGTCCCTGCTCTCTGCCTTCTGGTGGTCAGCAAATCTTCTATTCATGCCAATACCTTGCCCCTAACACCATGAGCTCTTGCGTAGTAACCTCCTGTGTGGCACCTTGTCAGAGGCTGACTGGAAATCCAAATAGATCACGTCCTTTGCGTTGCCTAACTTGCTTGTTACCTCCTCAAAGAATTCTAAAGATCTTGTCAGGCATGACTTCCCCTTGACAAAGCTGTGCTGACTCTGCCTTATTTTACCATACTCTTTATCATGTGGGGAGGCGATGGCCTAGTAGTACCATCCCAGATTATTAATCCAGGAATCAGTCAATGTCCTAGGAATTGGGGCAGAAATCCAGCCATGACAGAACCTGAACTCAACGAAAGACAATCTGGAATTAAGAATCCAATGATGACCATGAAATCACTGCCAACTGCTGGACAAACTCACCCAGTCCACCGAAATCCGCCATCCTCACCCAGCCCAGCCACTTGCGGTTCCAGTCCCACAGCATTGTGGCTGACCCTCAACTCCCTCTGAGAGGCCTAGCAAGCCACTCAGTTGTGTCAGTTGCTACAAAGTCTCAAAGGAATGAAACCGGACAGGATCATCAGGCATCAACCAAGGCACCAGAAAAGGCAATGGCAGAAACAGCCCTGTCAACCTTGTAAAGTCCTCTTTACTAACATCTGAAGGGCATTGCCAAAATTGGGAAAGCTGTCTCACAGACTAGTCAAGCAACAGCCTGACATAGTCATAGTCATGGAATCATACCTTATGGACAGTGGGTCCCAGATACCATCACAGCATCCCCGGATATGCCCTGTCCCACTGTCCGAGGTGGCTGCACGGTGGTCTACAGTCGGGAGGGAGTTGCTCTGGCAGTCTTCATATTGACTGTGGACCCTATGAAGTCTCATGGCTTCAGGTTAAACTTGGGAATGGAAACCTCCTGCTGATAACCACATACCATCCTCCCCCAGCTGATGAATCAGAAAAACATGTGGAGAAAGCACTGTGGGTGGCAGGGGTGAAAAATGTGCTCCGGGTGTGGGAATTTCAGTGTCCACCACCAATAGTGGCTCAGCAGCAGCACTACTGACCAAGCTGGTCAGGTCCTAAAGGATGTTGCTGCTAGGCTTGTTCTGCAGCAGGTAGTGAGGGAACCAACAAAAGGGAAAAACACACCTTGCCAATCTGCCGGCTGCAGATGCAACTGTCCATGACAGTATCAGTAAGAGTGACCACCACACAGTCCCCACAGAGTCAGAGTGACGCCATCACACCAAGAACAGCCTCCATCATGCTGTGCAGCACCAGATTAGACTGATTGACCTGTAGTTTCCGTGTTTATCTCTTGCTCCCTTCTTGAACAATGGTAGCACGTTGTCCGTCATCCAATCCTCCGCTCCTCTCCTGTGGCCAGAGAAGAATTGAACATTTTTGCATGTGCGCCTGCTGTTTCTTCTCTTGCCTCACTCAACAACCTGGGATACTTGTATCTGGGCTTAGAGTAATTCTAAGTGAATGGCGTGAGGCTTGTGATAAGGTAATACAAAAACAGGTGGAAAGGCAAGTTGAGAAAGGAATACAAACAGATTTTAATAGTTAAACAAGTGGGCAAAAAGTTGACAATTAGAGTGTAAATAGGGAAAATGTGAAGTTCATTTTGGAAGGGAGATCAAAAGAACAATATTATTTAAATGAAGAAAATGCAAAAAGCTACAACACAAAGGGACTTGGAGGTACTTAGACATGAAACACAGCAAGTTAGCACACAGATGCAGCAGTAATCAGGAAGGCTAATGAAATGCTGGCCCTTCTTTCAAGGAGGTTGGAGTGAGGGAGCCTTGGTTCTCAAGAGAGGTCGAATGACTGGTTAAGAGGAAGAAGGATGCTTATATAAGGTTTAGGAAACAAGGATCGGAAAAGGCTCTAGAGTGATACAGGTTATCCAGGAAGGAGCTGAAGAAAGGGCTTAGGAGAGCTATAAGGGGGCATGAGAAAACCTTGGCAGATAGGATCATGGAAAAGTCCAAGGCTTTTTGCATGTACGTGAAGAATAAGAGAATGACCAGAGAAAAGGTAGGGCCGATCAAGGATTGTAAAGGGAATTTGTGCACGGAGTCTAAAGAGATAAGAGAGGTCCTTAAGGAATACTTTTCTTCAGTATTTTCTAAACACGTGGCTACAGGGCTGGTGTAGGAGGGAGGGCTTCTATTATGTGGATAATTGGAGCACATTCTGGGGAAAGTGGGACCTGTACAGTAAGGACGGGTTGCACCTGAACCGGAAGGGCACAGATATCCTGGGAGGGAGGTTTGCTCGAGCTATACGGGAGGGTTTAAACTAGATTGACAGGGGGTGGGGAACCGGATTTATAATTCAAAGGATGAAGTATTCAGCCTTCCAACGGACACAACAGGGAGTGAGGTTGTTTATAAAGAAATGTGGTCGATGGAGCGTAATTGTGGACACAGAGATGCTTTGGGGTGTATATACTTCAATGCTAGAAGTATCAGAAATAAGGCGGATGAACTTAGAGCATGGGTCGGTACTTGGAACTTCGATGTTGTGGCCATTACAGAAACTTGGGTAACTCAGGGAGGGGAATGGTTGTTGGAAGTTCTGGGATTTAGATGCTTTAAAAGAAATAGGGAGATCGGAAAAAGAGGTGGGGGAGTGGCATTGCTAGTCAGGGCTAGTATAGCAGCTACTGAAAGGCAGTTCGAGAATGATATGTCTACAGAGTCAGTTTGGGTTGAGGTCCAGAACAAGAAAGGAGCAGTCACTTTGTTGGGGGTTTTTTACAGACCCCCTAACAGTTGCAGAGAAGTAGAGGAGCGGATTGGGAGGCAGATACTGGAAAGGTGCAGAAGTCACAGGGTTGTAGTCATGGGTGACTTCAACTTGCCAAATATTGATTGGAAACATTTTAGTTGTAATAGTTTAGATGGAGCTGATTTTGTCCAGTGCATTCAGGAAGGATTCCTGACACAGTATGTAGATAGACCAACACGAGGAGAGGCCACTTTGGATTTGGTGCTTGACAATGAACCGGGCCAAGTGTTAGACCTGTTGGTAGGAGAGCATTTTGGCGGTAGCAATCATAACTCTGTTACTTTTACAATAGTCATGGAAAAGGATAGGTACATACAGCAGGATAAGGTTTATAATTGGGGGAAGGGTAATTACAATTCAGTTAGGCAAGAACTGGGTAACATAAATTGGAAACAGATGCTGTCAGGGAAGAGCACGATTGAAATGTGGAGATTGTTTAAGGAATGCATACTGTGTGTACTCGATATGTTTGTCCCTCCCAGGCAGGGAAGATGCGGTCGAATGAGGGAGCCTTGGTTCTCAAGAGAGGTCGAACGACTGGTTAAAAGGAAGAAGGATGCTTATATAAGTTTTAGGAAACAGGGAACGGAAAGTCTCTCGAGGAATACAAGTTATCGAGGAAGGAGCTGAAGAAAGGGCTTAGGAGAGCTATAAGGGGGCATGAGAAAACCTTGGCAGATAGGATCAAGGAAAAGTCCAAGGCTTTTTACACGTACGTGAGGAATAAGAGAATGACCAAAGAAAGGGTAAGGCCAATCAAGGATTGTAAAGGGAATTTGTGCACGGAGCCTAAAGGGACAGGAGATGTCCTTGATGAATACCTTTCTTCAGTATTCACAACTGAGAGGCTCTTAGCTGTGGAGGAGGACAGTGTGAGACAGGCTGATCGGCTAGAGGAGGTCGATGTTAGTAAGGAAGATGTGCTAGGAATTTTGAGGAAGTTAAAGATAGAGAAGTCCCCCGGGCCTGATCGGATTTATCCAAAGATTCTATGGGAAGCGAGGGGATACCACTAGACCATTGCCTCCCCTCAAAATGTACAAGATTCTTAAGGGACTGGACAGGACAAATGCTGAGATAATGTTTCCCCTCATGGGAGAGTCTATGACCAGAGGGCATAGTCTCAGAATAAAGGGGTACCAATTTCAGACTGAGATGTGGAGGAATTTCTTCTCTCAGAGGGTTGTGAGTCTTTGAAATGCCTTAGCAGAGAGCTGTGGGGATAGGATTCCTTGTTTACATTTAAGGCTGAGATAGATAGATTCTTGATCAAACAGGAATTGATGGATATGAGGTAAAGGCAGGAAAGTAGATGCGAGGAATGTCGAATCAGCCATACCACCACTGAATGGCCGAACCGGCTCAAGGGACCGAACAGCCTACTCCTGTTCCTTTTCCTCATGCTCTTAATGTCCAATGTGTGGGGGTGAGACTAGTAGCAGTGCTGGGTGTGTGGCGATGAGGCTTGTGGCAATGCTGGACATGTGGGGGTGAAGTGAAGCTCTGTCTGAGGTGTGAATTTTGGTTGATAGAAATTGTTTGTGGGTGATGGAAGGGGCTTAAATTAAAAGAGATGAAGACTCAGATGAAGGAACATTAAAATTCTAAAAACGAAAGTAAAATCACCATAATTCCATAGAGCTGCTCCCTTGTTAGAGAGAGAGAGAAACACACAACATGACTCGTGGTTGTTTAACATGAGGGTCACCACACTTCAGGTGAGGGGAGAGATTGAGAAGGAGAGAGCTTCATGGTAACCTCAGCTGGTACAAGAATTAAACCCGAGCTATTGGCATCACTCAGTAATGCAAATCAGCTATCTAGCCAACTGAACTAACTGGTCCTGAGCCAACTGAGGGACAGAATTGATCTGCATTTGGAGAGACAGGAATAGTTAGCATGGTTTTTTTAAAGGAGAGATCATGTCTGACCAAATTAATTGAGTTTTTCAAAGAGCTGACCAGGTTTGTAGATGAGAGCAATTCTTTCGATGTAGCCTACTAAGATTTCAGCAGGGTTTTTGATAAGGTCCCACATGGAGGGCTGATAACAAAAGAGCCCATGGGCTACAAGGAAATTTGGCAAATTGGACCCACAGTTGGCTGATTGGCAAGAGGCAGAGGGTGAGGGTTGAGGGATATATTTCTAACTGGAAGTCTGTGTCCAGTGGGACCTGTGTCCACAGGGATCTGTTCTGGGGCCCTTGCTGTTTGTGGTTTATATAAATGATCAGTAAATTTGCAGATGATACAAAAACTGGAAGAGTGGTAACAATTGAGGAGGAAAACCTTAGATCATCGATGGCCTGGTCAAACAGGCCAGTCAGTGGCAAATGGAATTCAGTCTGGATAAATATGATGTAATGCACTTGGGCAGGATAAACAAGGCAAGGGAATACATAATGAACAGTAGGACCCTGGGAAGCACCGCAGATCACAGGACCTTGATGTGCATATGCACCAGTCTCTTAAGGTATCAGGACCTTTGGAAAAAGTGGTTAAAAGCATTTGGGATACTTGCCTTTATTAGGCCAGGCAAACAGTTTAAGTGCAGGGAGGTGATGCTGGGATTGTATAAAACCCCATAAGGACACAGCTAGAGTATTGTGTGCAGTTTTGGAATCCACATTATAGGAGGTGTGTAAAAGCACGAGAGAGGGTACAGAAGAGATTTACGAGGATGTTGTCTGGGTTTGCGAGTTCCAGTTATGAAGAGAGATTGAACAGACTGGGGTTGTTTTCCTTAGAGCAGAGGAGATTGAGAGGGGTATGATTGAGATGAATAAAATTATGAGGGGCGTAGATAGAGTAGATACGAAGAAACTTTTCCCGTTGATGGAGGGACCAGTGACCAGGAGGCACAGATTTAAGGTAAGGGACAGAAGGTTTATAGGAGATGTGAGAAAAAATCTTTTCATCCAGTGGATGATGTGAATCTGGAGCTAACTGCTTGTAAGGTTGGTAGAGGCATAACATTTAAGATGTAGGTAGATGTGCACTTGTGATGCCAAAGCATACAAGACTTTGGGCCAAGTGCGGGAAAATGGGTTTAGAATAATTAAGTGGTTGTTTTTGATACAATGAGCTGAAAGGTCTTTTCCTGTGCTGTGGATCTCCATGATTCTATAACTCCCAAATGTCGAGATACTTGTCTAGCATAGCGATTAGATAAAGACAAGCAGTGTGGGACAGTGAGAAACAGAAATTTTAACTGTGCGTCTCAAATAATGTTTGTGCAAATAGGAGGAAAAGAATAAACCTGAAGGCTCTTTCAATATGCAAACCATTTGCAAGAACATAGTTGAGTTAACAGTGCAAATAGAGGATTAACTCTAATTGTCATGACAAAAGTAATTGTCTTGCCAGGCTTTAGAACTGGCAGTACTGGGAGAGTCTAATACTGGTAGTTGGAAGTTAAAATGATTCCTTGTTTTGAATAGATTGGCCTCATGCTGCTGAATGTATTTATTGAATGTAACTGAATGTTATTTCCTGTTCACCTGCAGAGACTTTGATCAGCTGAATGAGAAGGATGTGGAGAGCAATAACCAGATGGCGTTTGACATTGCTGAGCGGGAGTTTGGAATTTCCCCCGTAATGACAGGAAAAGAAATGGCAGCAGTGGGTGAACCAGACAAACTGAGCATGGTGATGTACCTATCACAGTTCTACGAGATGCTCAAGGACACGGCTCCAGAGGGTGAGAAGCTATAGGACAGGGGAGACAGTTACCTTAAAGTTCATGCGATTGTGCTGGAAAAAGTGTCTGTTTATACCGCATAGAACATAGAACATAGAACATAGAACATTACAGCGCAGTACAGGCCCTTCGGCCCTCGATGTTGTGCTGACCTGTGAAACCAATCTGAAGCCCATCTAACCTAAACTATTCCATTATCATCCATATGTTTATCCAATGACCATTTAAATGCCCTTAAATTTGGCGAGTCTACTACATTTGCAGGCAGGGCATTCCACGCCCTTACTACTCTCTGAGTACAGAACCTACCTCTGACATCAGTCCTATATCTATCACCCCTCAATTTAAAGCTATGTCCCCTCGTGCTAGCCGTCACCATCCGAGGAAAAAGGCTCCCACTGTCCACCCTATCTAATCCTCTGATCATCTTGTATGTCTCTATCAAGTCACCTCTTAACCTTCTTCTCTCTAACGAAAACAGGCTCAAGACCCTCAGCCTTTCCTCATAAGACCTTCCCTCCATACCAGGCAACATTCTGGTAAATCTCCTCTGCACCCTTTCCAATGCTTCCACATCCTTCCTATAATGCGGTGACCAGAACTGTACGCAATACTCCAAGTGCGGCTGCACCAGAGTTTTGTACAGCTGCAACATGACCTCATGGCTTCGAAACTCAATCCCTCAAACAATAAAACCTAACATACCGTACGCCTTCTTAACAACGCTATCAACCTGGGTGGCAACTTTCAGTGATCTATGCACATGGACACCGAGATCTCTCTGCTCATCCACACGACCAAGAATCTTACATTAGCCCAGTACTCCGTATTCCTGTTACTCCTTCCAAAGTGAATCACCTCACACTTTTCCGCATTAAACTCCATTTGCCACCTCTCAGCCCAGCTCTGCAGCATATCTATGTCCCTCTGTAACCTGCAACATCCTTCCGCACTATCCACAACTCCACCGACTTTGGTGTCATCCGCAAATTTACTAACCCATCCTTCTACGTCCTCATCCAGGTCATTTATATAAATGACAAACAGCAGTGGCCCCAAAACAGATCCTTGTGGTACACCACTAGTAACTGAACTCCAGGTTGAACATTTTCCATCAACCACCACCCTCTGTCTTCTTACAGCTAGCCAATTTCTGATCCAAACCGCTAAATCACCCTCAATCCCAAGCCTCCGTATTTTCTGCAATAGCCTACCTTGGGGAACCTTATCAAACGCTTTACTGAAATCCATATACACCACATCAACTGCTTTACCCTCATCCACCTGTTTGGTCACCTTCTCAAAGAACTCAATAAGGTTTGTGAGGCACGACCTACCCTTCACAAAACCGTGTTGACTATCCCTAATCAAATTATTCCTTTCCAGATGATTATAAATCCTATCTCTTATAATCCTTTCCAACACTTTACCCACAACCGAAGTAAGGCTCACTGGTCTATAATTACCAGAGTTGTCTCTACTCCCCTCCTTGAACAAGGGGACAACATTTGCTAGTCTCCAGTCTTCTGGCACTATTCCTGAAGACAATGACGACATAAAGATCAAAGCCAAAGGCTCTGCAATCTCCTCTCTAGCTTCCCAGAGAATCCTAGGATAAATCCCATCCGGCCCAGGGGACTTATCTATTTTCACACCTTCCAAAATTGCTAACACCTCCTCCTTATGAACCTCAATCCCGTCTAGTCTAATAGACTGTATCTCAGTATTCTCCTCGACAACATTGTCTTTTTCCTGTGTGAATACTGACGAAAAATATTCATTTAGCACCTCTCCTATCTCTTCGGACTCCACGCACAACTTCCCACTACTGTCCTTGACCGGCCCTAATCTTACTCTAGTCATTCTTTTATTCCTGACATACCTATAGAAAGCTTTAGGGTTTTCCTTGATCCTACCTGCTAAAGACTTCTCATGTCCCCTCCTGGCTCTTCTTAGCTCTCTCTTTAGGCCCTTCCTGGCTAACTTGTAACTCTCAAGTGCCCTAACTGAGCCTTCACGCCTCATCTCTACATAAGCCTCCTTCTTCCTCTTGACAAGAGATTCAACTTCTTTAGTAAACCACGGTTCCCTCGCTCGACCACTTCCTCCCTGCCTGACAGGTATATACTTCTCAAGGACACGCAGTAGCTGTTCCTTGAACAAGCTCCACATTTCAATTGTGCCCAGCCCCTGCAGTTTCCTTCTCCATCCTATGCATCCTAAATCTTGCCTAATCGCCTCATAATTGCCTTTCTCCCAGCTATAACTCTTGCCCTGCAGTATATACCTATCCCTTTCCATCGCTAAAGTAAACGTAACCGAATTGTGGTCACTATCACTATGCAGTGTTCAGTCTCGGCACTGGCAGCTGGAGACTGTGTCAGTTTATACAAGAGTGTTCTGTCACAGTGAATACCGGCAGCTGGAGACAGTGTCAGTGTAAATGTAGTGTTATGTCTCAGTGAGCACTGGCAGCTGAAGCCAATGTCAGTGTACCCTTCATTGTTCAGTCTCAATGAGCAATGGCAGCTGGACACAGTGTCTGTGTGTTCTGCAGATTTCTGTCTTGGTGAGCACTGACAGATTGCTGAGGATGAGGTCAAGCATGTTTTTCCCTCTAATTGGTTTCCCGCACTACCTACTTCAGACCCCGTCTAGAAGCTATGCCCTTTAGGACGCGACCAGCTTGATCGGTAGTACTGCTGCTGAGCCACTCTTGGTTATGGACATTGAAATCCCCCACCCAGAGTACATTTTGTGCCTTGCCACCATCAATGTTTCCTCCAAGTGTTGTTCAACATGGAGGAACACTGATGCATCAGCGGAGTCATAGAGTCATGCAGTGCAGAAAAAGCCTCCGGCCCATTGAGTCTGCATTGATTATAACTAGAACTAAAGGCTCGCTAATCCCAATTTCCTGCACTTGTCTCATATCCTTGAATGTTATGATAAGAGGAAGGGAGGACGGTATGTGTTAACCAGCAGGAGGTTTCTTTGCCCATGCTTAACCTGAAGCCATGAAACTTAATGGGGTCCGGAGTCAATGGTGAGAACTCCCAGGGCAATTCCCTGCCAACTGTATACCACTGTGCCACCACTTCTGCTGGGTCAGTCCTGCCAGTGGGATAGGACATATCCAGGGACGGTGAAGGTGGTGTCTGGGACATTGTCTGTGTCAGGCTGTTGCTTGACCTCCAGCCCCCAGATGTTAGTGAGGAGGATTTTGCAGGGTTGATAGGGCTGTTTCTGCATTTGTCATTTCCCATGCCTAGGTCAATACCAGCTGGTCCATCCGCTTTCATTTCTTTGAGGCTTTGTGGAGATTGATAGAACTGAGTGGCTTGCTAGTCCATTTCAAAGGGCAGTTAACAGTCAACCACATTGCTGTGGGTCTGGATTCACATGTAGGCCGGACCAGGTGAGGTTGGCAGATTTTCTTCCCTGAAGGACGTCAGTGAACCAGATAAGTTTTTCAAAAATCAACAATGGTTTCATAGTCATCAGTAGATTCTTAATACCAAATATTATCTTTTCACTGAATTCAAATTCCACCATGTGCCTTGGTGTGATTTGAACCCAGGTCCAAAGAACATTAGTTGGGTTTCTGCATGAACAGTCTAGTGAAAATACTACTAAGCCATCACCTCCTTGCTGCAAAGTTTAGTCTCAGTGAGCACTGGCAGCTAGGGACAGTGTCAGTGTATACTGGTGTGTTTAGTCTCAGTGAGCACTGGCAACTGGGGACAGTGTAATTTTATACTAGTGTTCAATCTCAGTGAGCACTGCCAGTCGAAGACAATGTTGGTATATTCCACAGTTTTCTGTCTCAGTGAGCACTGGCAGCCGAAGACAGTATCAGTGTACACTGCAGTGTTTAGTCTCCATGAGCACTGGCAGCTGGCAGCATTAGATCCATTTGCCCATCTCAGAAATGTCCCGACTGAGGTCAAAGAGAGTAATGATTCTTTCCCTATTTCACTTCTCCACTGACACAACAAATTATAAATATATCCAGGGTGATGATGTGATTACTTACGTGTGTCTCAGACTCTATCTTTGTTAGTATTAAAAACAAGTTAGTAAGACATCTTTAGTCAATGAAGAATAACTGATTTATTGCAAATAGTACTTATGCAGACATGTAAAGCTTATTGACAAACAAGCTTTAGACCATTCAAAGATAGATATGATTCATATTCTAACATCCCAAATGTACCATGAGACAAATATGGGGAACTGACAAATGATGATCATACATCAAACAACAATTTTGAGAGAAGGATCCCACAACTTTCTCAGCAATTCTTCCCTCGTCCCCAATATTAGCAACAAGTAGCGTCATCAAAATCCATTAAAACTTTACAAGCGACAAAGAAGCTTCATGTTTAGTGACTGGGCCTTGAAATGTTTTCAAGCGCAATGGGTCTTGGACTGTTTCAATGACTGTTCACATGCTGGTCACTCCCCCTCTTTCCCTGGAACTATTGCTACTTCTGAGATTGGAGGAGCACACTGATCTCCACCTTGTCCTACTACTCCACTGATAACAGTACCAATATGACCCATTGTATCATATTATTGTATCATAAATTACAATAATATCAATGCATCTATATTGCGTTTATAAACAATAAACTTAATTGTCCGATAGTAAAATAAGTGAATAAATGAAAGACAAAATGGATTTATGAAAGTCAAAATTATATTCTTTAATGAAGGAAACTGATGCTTTCTATGTAAACTTTCAAAAACAATTTGGTGAATACTACATATTAGACTTTGAAACCCATTTGATGAAGAGGGAGCAAGTTGCTGGATAAAAAATTGGCTGACAACAGAAAGCAGAGATTTTATTTACTTTGGATCTTTAATTAATATCTATGCAGTCTTTGTTATGACAGGGAGTTGTGAATGAGAAAATTTACTATCATAATGTTACTTATTGTGTGATAATGGTTGTGATCTACTTAGAGATTTCCTCTCTTCAGTATCTGCAATCGCTAGCCTTCATAGCAGTACACAGTTCAATTTATTTCTGGCCTTTTCTTTTTCACAGAATATCTACTCAGTTTTCATGATAAATCAAACATTGTGAGTGCTACAAAGTCGCCGATCTCCTTCCTCAGCAGACTGGGACAGTCCATCACTCGCAAGAGGGGGCCTAAGGTAAGCAGCTTGGGGTACCTGAGCTTGCAGGGAGTGGAACCGGAGCAGTCAATGAGTGATTGTTGCTATTTGATCAAAATGAAAGAAACAGGAGATAATTAATTCAACCAGGAGATAATGGTCAATAAAGACTGACTTTTATTTTCTCCCAAAGTCTCATTGTGCAATTGTTGTGGATGACATCAGATTAAAGAGGAGTTTATAACAATGAAAGAGACAGACATAGAAGGAAATTGACAACCAGCCCACGGATCTGCAGCTCCCCCACTGTGCTCCTTCCTGTCCACTCCCCGTTGTGATCATTCTTGTTTACTTGTCCTTCTCCTCTGTGTGATCCAGTGGTATCACTGCCTCCAGCTCTGGATCTATCGGTTTGTGTTATTGATGGTTGCTGGACAGCTTTCTTGTTTGACAGATTTTGTTTGTTGCTGGTTTGGACGAGTTAACCATTCACAGCCGTCAGTCTGTCACCGTGTTGGTGGTCCAATCTGTTTCAGAGTTGGAAGCTCTCTATCCCCCTTCCCTGGTGTTCTATAATATCTTATTTTCAAATGCTGATTTAGATTGTCTGTACTCCAAGTAAAAGGGAGTTTTTCAGGGAACTCTGGCAGTCATTTGATCCCAACTGATTCGCAAAACTCGGTAAGATTAAAAATCTATCTTAGTCTTTTTATTGATATGGCTCATAAAGATCACCAAAGTCACCAGGGAGATGGAACTTCTCCGCTGTTTGTTGTTATTGTGCCACGGGTATTTTTACATTCATCTGAGGGTGGGACCAGCCCTCAGTTTTACATTTCGCTGGAATATTGTTCAAATCCTTGGAATGTGATTTGAACCCACAATGTTCTGAACTGAGGGTCAGAGTGTTACCTGCATAGTCTTGGATGACCCTCTTGGTGTTCATGGTTTCACACGGTCACTTGTCTTGGTGTCTTCCTCTGGTAAAGGTTCCTTGCTGCAGAAGTCCTGTGTGTGAAAATGCTACTCTAATATGATCTTTCATTACGTGGTGATAATTCCCGCCTGTTTTTAAAGTGATTAGCCATTTATAAAAACACTTAGACATAAAGTCATAGAGCTGTTCTTCAAACTTTTGTAACCACCATGTAACCATATGAATTTTATAAGTCATCTCATTCCTGGGAACATCTTAAAAATTTACAATGAGTTGTAAGCCTTTGGAGCAGAAAAGATTAAGAGGTGACCTTATTGAGATGTTCAAAATTATGAACAATTTTGACAGGGTAAAAGAAGGGTATTCTGTTTCCACGAGTTGGCATGTCAGTAACTAGGGGTCACAATTTCAAAATTGTCAGCAACAGCTGGGAGTGAGTTGAGGAGAAACTTCTTTACTCAGGTTTGTTAGGATATGCAATGTGCTGCCTGGGAGAGTGTAGAGACAGATTCCGCTGAGATTTCAAGAGAGAGCTGGATATATATTTGAAAGGGATGAAGTTAGAGGGCTATGGAGATAGGGCTAGAGAATGGGACTAGCTGGGTAGCTCTTTCAGGAGCTGGTATAGAGACGATGGGATGAATAGCCTCCTGTACTGTAAAATTTGATGATTCTATAATGGTGTATGAACACTCATTAAACAATCATAATTTGATCAAATTCAACGTAAGGTTTGAGAGGGGCAAACTCAAAACAGCTCTCTGTTCCAGATTAAGGTAATGTTGCTTTCCAATAAGATGAAGGAAAGACTGTGCCTTATCTGTCTACTGTGCAGTCCAGTGGAATAAAATGTGAAAGAAAGGTTTTCAAAAAATGTTCTGGAATGTGACACAAACCCCACCAGTTTATGTCCCCGAAGGACAAGAACTCTACTTCCAAAAGAAAACGCAGCCACATACAGCTAAAGAGGTTAGAAGCAAACTTAAAGAAAAATTACAGAGAATGCAAGGAATAGCACATTGTCCCAACAGCTGGGAGAACACAGAAAGGAGACAAAACCTATGGTAAGTGTTATATAAAGGACTGTGAGAACAAACTTGCAAAGGAACTCAAAATCAACACAAACACCTTTTTATATCTGTTTGAGAAAGAGCTGATGCTAATGCTAATGTTTCAATGTATTGACATGATGGAAATGTTTAGTAATTATTTTACAGCAGTATTTACGGAAAAAAAAGAAACCAAAATTCCATTCACCCCTCAAGGAAACAAAATATTGAGTCAGGGAAATAAGGAAAGTAACAGGAACAGTGAAAATAATGGCACAAATGAGTGATTTGTGCTAGGACCACGTAGTTTCCATTCCCAGAGTTACACGCATTTAAAATGAGCATATTACACTGCCTTGAACAGTAATATTCCACCGTTCTCTTGATTCAGGAACTGTCCCTCCAGAATGGCATGTTATAAAATCACTCTCTAATTGCAGAAAGGTGACAGAGGGAGTCTAGGAAATTATAGAGCTGTCAGTTTAACGTCAGGTTTTGAGGGATTACTGGGTTGTACAAATAAGGAGTGACTGAACACTGAAACTAAACAACATTTCAAACAAAGCCAGTAAATGTCATTACACAGTAGTTATGCTGAGTCAAATGTTAACTTTGAAACTCAGCTGGATGGATTTTTGTTAACCAAAGATCTGATTTTGACTTTTTTTTTAATTGTCATGTGTACCAAAATACAGTGAAAAGCTTTGTTTACGAGCGGTACAGGCAGATCATAGCAAGCAAAGGATTTATAGATCAAAAAAAACTTAGAGGCATGCAGGTTATATTGCAGGCTACGTTATTTGAGGCTAGAGTCCATTCAACAGTTTGGTAATGGCTGGAAAGAAGCTGTTCCTGAACCTGCTTGTGCATGTGTTCAGGCTTCTGTATCTTCTGCCTGATGGAAGAGGTTGTAGGAGGTCATTACCAGGGTGTGATGGATTTTTGATGATGTTGGCCTCCTTTCCGCACTGCGAGTCATGTAAATAGAATCCATGGATGGAAGGTTGGCTTCCGTGATGGTCTATAGTTTCTTACAGTCCTGGGCAGAGCAGTTGCCATACCAGGCCATGATGCACCCGAACAGAATCCTTTCATTGGTGCATCTGTAGAAGTTGGTGAGGGACCTTATGGACGTGCCAAATTTCCTGAGCCGCCTGAGGAAGAAGAGTCGTTGTTGTGCCTTCTTGACTGTTGCATCTATGTGGGAAGTCCAGGACAGGTCATCAGTTATCATCACGCTGAGGAACTTGATGCTCTTCACCCTCTCAGCCTCAGTTCCGTTGATGTAGAAGGGGGCATGTTCCTCTCTCTTCTTTCTGAAGTCGATGATCAGTTCTTTAGTTTTGCTAATGTTGAGAGACAGATTGTTTTCATTGCACCACATCACCAAGCCCTCTATCTCCCTGCTGTATTTTTACTCGCCATTGTTAGATATCCGTCCCACTATGGTGGTGTTGTCAGCGAACTTGTAGATGGTGTTCATTTAGAATTTGGCAACACAGTCATAGGTGTACAGGGAGTACAGCAGGGGCCTGAGGACGCATCCTTGGGGGAGCTTCAGTGTTGAGTGTTACTGTGGAGGAGATTCAGTTACCTATCCTCACTGATTGTGGCCTATGGGTCAGAAAGCTGAGGATCCAGTTGCAGAAGGTGGACCGAGAGCAAGGTCAGGCAGTTTTGAGATCAGTCTGAAGGCGGAGCTGTAGTCAATGAGCAGGAGTATGTCTTTGTTATCTAGATGTTCCAGGAATGAGTGCAGGGCTAGGATATGGATATGGCATCCTCTGTGGATCTGTTATGTCGTAAGGTAAACTGTAGGGGATCAAGGCACATTGGGAGACTGGAGTTGATGTGGGCCATGACCAGCCTCTTAAATCACTTCATGCTTATTGAAGTCAGAGCTATTGGGTGGTAGTCACTAAGGCACACTACATGTGTTTTCTCGGGTACGGGGACGATGGTGGTCTTCTTGAAGCAGGTGGGGACTTCGGCTTGTAGGAGGGAGAGGTTGAAGATGTTGGTGAATACCTCTACCAGTTGGTCCACACAGGATCTGAGTGCTCGGCCGGGGACACCGTCCAGGCCCGCTGCTTTCCCTGGGTTGACTCCCAGGGAGACTGATCTGATTTCTGAAGCAGTGAGAGGGGGAACAGGTGTGTTTGGGGCTGTCAGGGCAGGCATCACCACGCCGGTGGTATTCTGCTCAAAACAACCATAGAAAGCATTGAGCAGGTCAGGGAGGGATGTGTCATTGTCTGCTATCGTACACGGTTTCATTTTGTATCCCATAATGTCGTTTAGGCCTTACCATAGATGGCGGGAGTCTGTTTCGTAGGTCTGGGCCTCTAACTTAGTCCGGTACTGTGGCCTCCCTGATGGCTTTGCGGAGGTCATATTTGGATTTTCTGTATTGGTCTGGGTCACCCAACTTGAATGCTGCATGTCTGGTCTTCAGTAGGGAGTGGATTTCCTGGTTCATCCAAAGTTTACAGTTGGGGAATACTCGGATTGACTTCTTTGGTTCACAGTCCTCCACACATTTATTAATAATGACTGTGATGGTGGTGGCATACTCATCTAGAATTTCCGCTGAACACTTGAACATGGTCCAGTCCACCAAGTCTAAGCAGTCCCAGAAGCGGTCTTCTGCTGTCTCAGACCAGCACTGTACTTTGTTTTGTGAAGGATTCTCCCATTTCAGCTTCTGCTTGTAAGCTGGGAACAGGAACACAGCACTGTGGTCAGATTTTTTGAAGTGTGGGCGGTGGGCATCTTTGATGGTTGTGTAGCTGTGGTCCAGGACGTTTGGTCCTCTAGTGGGGCAGGACATGTGTTAGTGGTATTTTGGCATCACTTGCTTGAGTTTGGCTTGGTTGAAGTCGCCAGCCATAATGAATAGGGCCTCAGGGAATTTTGTCTCTAGAGTGTGGCGGTGTAAATCTTGTCTCGGGCATAGTCTGGGAAACAGGGGCAGTATGACAGTGTAGAGCAGATAGAGTTACTTTACAATCAGCCCTGTTCTCAAGGGGCTCCTCCTGCTCCAGAACACCAAT